TTGACCTAATTTTTCTTTTTCTTTATTTTTTATTTTTTTTCTTCACTGTCTATATTATCATCTGGACGATCTACGTTTACAAACATGTAACAATACTCCCGGGTTCAAACCGTTTACTTTATTAAAATCGAAGTTTTGTATTAAAACTTAGTAAAATTCTGACATTTACTGCATTGAGTCTATCACTTCTTTGCGTTCTTTTTGTAATTCTTTGATTCGTTTGGTTTGAGCTATACACATCAGCAAATAGCAAATGTTCGTGAACTTGATCGTAATTTTTGCTTTTTACTTCCACATGCACCAACTTTAATACATCTGTCAATACTTCACTGTGGGTATCGATGCGATGTTCACATTCAGCCAACTTATCATCTGTTATATTGTAGAGAAATTTCCTCTTCGGCGTCGAAGTCATTTTGATACACGACTTACAAAACACAGCTTAACCTTCATCTACTGTGTGTATATACTGTACTACAACTCGAACAAAATCGGTTTTTTTATTAAACATCAATGCAGTTTGTGTTATATGACAAAAAATTGCAAGTTTTAATGACTAGAATCATACCTAAATTTTAGAGAACACTAATAACTCAAACAAAATCCGCTTGCTGTCACCACATCTATTAAACAATTATTTTCAATAATTATGGATGATGCAATCTTATACTAACTTCAACAAAATCAAAAATATGAGTTTTGTAATAAAATTTAGATGCAAAAATTTTTTTTCACTGCTTTAATGTATTTAACACACAATGCGGTTTGTGTTATGACAAAAATTGCAAGTTTTATTGTATGTGAAACAAGTAAAAAAGCATGTTTGTAAGGTCACAAGGCTATTTTGCACAACAATTTACACTATAAAATCCAAGCATTTATTTCATCTACTTCACTTGCAACCACACACTTGTCGCACAGCAGTGAAAGCAAAAGAATAGTTAAATGTCAAAAGGACCGTGTTTTACGATACAAAAGACGGCAAACAAAAATGAAACAACAAAATAAAAAAGGAATAAAGATATACAACGCTGTATCAAAAGAAGTTTGTGATGAGATGCTGAATATAATTTACATGGAAGCAATTGAGATTCCAAAAGAAACACAAGCAAGACAACGACAAAAGGAACACAAACTTAAATTACTTGAAGAAAAGAAAAAACAAAAAAAAGCAGAAAAAATAAGAAAGAAAAATGTAATACGAAAATGTAACGAGTATTTGGATTTTATTTTTTTGGATATTAATCTTAGCAAAGATGAGAAACAATTACATTTTAATTGATTAATAAATTAATTGACGAATTGTAGTAAACATTGTCTTCAACCTTTAATTCGTCTGTCATCGTTTTGATATCACACTCATTTCAATTTTGAAGTTCATCCAAATTAGCTTGTGCTAATATTAACTTCACTTGAGGTTTTTCTTTTATTTTTTCATAATCAATTAACAAATGGTTTAATTCATCACATTCATCTTGCAAAGCTTGAAAATCTTTTAAATATTCATTTTGTTTTGCTTCATTTTGCGCTACCTTCTCTTTCAATTCTTCATATTCAGTCTGCAAATCAAATAGTTCTTTTCTTAAATCGCGAATTTCTTTTTGATTTCGCGCAAGTTCGATGTTTACATCATCATCATCATCCTCACATATATAATAAAATTTTCTCTTGATCCAATTTAATGTGTTTGGACTTGAATTTTCTGATGTGTTAAGACATGAATTGTCTGATGTGTTTGCAGTTGATCCTTCTGATTCTGGTGTACAAAACAAACTCAAATCCATTTTATAAAACAAACTTAACTACGGTGGCCCACAAGTACAATACACGAACACAAACAGAAGTACACGAACACAAATGAAAGTACACGAACACAAATGAAGATACACGAACACAAATGGAAGTACACGAACACAAACAGAAGTACACAAACACAAATAAGAGCACACGAACACACAGAAGTACACAAACACAAATAAGAGCACACGAACACACAGAAGTACACAAACACAAACAGAAGTACACCAACACAAATGGAAGTACAAGAACACAAATGAAAGTACACAAACACAAATAAGAGCACATGAACACAAACACAAATAAAAGCACACGAACACAAACAGAAGTACACAAACACAAATCCATATTCTGGTTAAATAGCAACAATGACTAAATGAGAAGTATAGCGGTCATCACAATTGCTAACGATTTAATACTTTGAGCTTACATCCACAAAATGGAAGAAGCAATACGATATTATTTTAGTAAGAATTATCAATACAAAACCATTTTGAGTTTACTCGATAAATTCCATGGCATTTCCATTTCAAGAAGTACGCTTTTAAATAAGTTAAAACAGTTTGGGTTGCGTCGGCAAGGGAATGTTGTTGACGAAAATCGTATCAGAGAATACATTTTACGAGAAATTAATGGATGCGGTAATATGCTTGGCTATAGAGCTATTTGGAGAAGTACGACGTTCGGTTGTTCAAACTGTACTTAAAGAAATCGACCCTGAAGCATCGAGACTTCGACGAGCAAACAGACTTACAAGAACAAACCATTTGAATCCCGGACCCAACTATGCGTGGCACGCTGACGGGTATGATAAACTGAAGCCATATGGCTTTGCAATTCATGGATGCATTGATGGCTTTAGTCGCCGAATATTATGGTTGGAAATCGTCAAATCGAATAACGATCCTCGAGTCGTTGGTCGTTTGTTTTTTGACTGTGTTCAGAAAATACAATGTTGTCCTACTCTGTTAAGAACCGATAGAGGTACGGAGAATGGTATAATGGCCACCATTCAATGCTTTCTACGAAGAAACCACCAGGATTCTCTAGCAGATTTAAAAGCACATCGCTATGGGTCATCGCATACCAACCAAAGGATAGAAGCCTGGTGGGCCATATTGCGTAAATCATGGGCGTCATGGTGGATAAACTTTTTTAAGGATCTTATTGCCCGCGGTGTACTGGATACTAGCAACGTTATGCATCTTCAGTGTCTTTGGTTCTGCTTTCACCCAGTGATGAAGGACTCACTAAGTGAAATGAAAGAATCATGGAATTCTCATTACGTACGCAAATCACGCTACTATACTGTACCTGGTATTCCAAATCAGCTTTATTTCCTTCCTGAATCTGTTGAAGCAGAAGATTACAAGAAAATGTTTGATCAACGAGAGATCAATCAGGCGGAAGACTTCATTGGCATGACAGATAATGAAAATTGTATTTATCAAGAATATTTTTCATACAATGCACATTTGCTTGAAGTTGAAACACCGCAGAACTGGAGAAGTGCGTTGATCACGTATGAACGTTTGTTAGCAGAAGCACAACCAAATCATTCTTAGAATAATTAGTACCATGTGCTGGTGTGTTTAATATTTGTAAAGCACTTTCTCTTGTAGAGGAACTGTTGTTATGTATGACATGAAAAATAACTTTTTCAAACCTTTATTAAGAATCGCAAACGCTCTTACGTAACACTAGAGTCACGGAAGTGATGAAAAAATCCTATACATCGGTCTTGCCAACCAAAAAAATAGACTGAAAGAAAAACTACAGTAGATATTTAGTTTTGACATAGAAAATAAAATAATGTGAAAGATTGTTTTAATAGTATATCATGGATTTCACCAACAACAACGAAACATCACATATCATAACATGTACAAAGCTAACAAAACTAGAGTGCCACATAAAATTCAGATAAAGCGTACGTAGATATAACTTCAATGTCCCCATTAGACAATATCAAAAGTCCACGAACTCTTCTCACGAAGAACTGATGAGAACTCTTCAACTAGTTCATTGTAGCACTGATAGGTGTGAGGAACTTCAAGTAAAGGACCACAAGTATGCGCCACAGGCCGACGAGCGAAACCATTTAAGTCAGCGAATGTGACCTTTAATTTCATTTCGGGCAGAACCACACTGGCTCCAGTAGTGAACTGAAGAAATGCACCGACGTTACTTCCAAGAGATTTGATGAATTTGGTCAAGTGTTCGAACGTTAGGTGCTCGTTGTCATTTTGTGGAGATGCATCAGGCATTTTAATGACTTTCTTTGGCGTAGGCTTTTTTTCATCGCAAAAACAAAAGAATGTTTGAGATATTCTGGAACATCATCAGAGTTAAATACATTTAGAGGATCAGGCATCTCACAAACATTGCTGTTCACTTGGAATATATCATTAGCAACTGCCTGTAGTGGCGGTGAATAGGCATTTGCCGATTGTGCTAGTAAAAGTGGCATATTATGCTAGTGGCAGTGCTCGTTTTTTGCCCAAATTATGCTCAAATTATGCTCGCTTTTCAAAATTATGCTACTTTTTTAAAAAATTATTCTGTGCACAAACTTCACAACTCACAAGACAAGTTTGAAAATGTATTTTATTAACCCTGGCCAGACGTTCTGGGCTTGGTTGTTCAAAACCTGGGTAACTTTATCCGGTGGTTGGGCCTATACAGCGAATAAATCTGCTATCCAGCGGATAGTTATCCAGCGAACAAAAGTAGGTTGCACAAAGCCTGGATAGTGTGGTGGATAACTATCCGCGGATAGCTTGCTAGTTGCTAACCATCTCGTGTAGCAGAGCACGACACAGTTTTGCACTCAAATGGCCTCCAGTTACCATGGTAAAGTATGCAAATTTCGAGTAAACAACGAACGGTGCGCGCGCTAGCAACAACGAACTGTGCGCGCTGGGTTTCAAAACAAATAAAAACAAATACAGTGAAAACTTAACCATGCAGTTTCTGACAAAGCCCTGGATAACAAATTTAACATTGAATAATCTCGCTAGTTTCTGAACCACGCAGTCCGGCTTGACTTCTCTAATTCGTTCTCCAACAGTTAATTAGCTTGTTATATTGAAGCATCACACTTGCTTGCAAGTAATCTGCAAGTGCACGATCTTGTTGATCCTTGAATGAAGCTGCAGGGATGCTGAATCTCTCTCGGCAGCAGACGATGGTTGGACCAACAGTATTTTCTTCACTGCCATGGACCAATTTGGGAGACGGTCTGCGTGGGCCTGCCACCACTCCACCTTCTTTTCCTCTTGTTCAATGACCACATCCTGAGCAGCAGCGACGTACTGTGGAAGCTCTCTAATTAGGCCATTGATAGTTGCATCATTGTCGAGGAAAGGGAAAATCCTTAGGGCTTCTATTGTGGCGGTGTAGGCCTCATCCATTGAACGGCAACTGGACACATGATTCTTGCAGCTTTGAAGGCCGTGACGGTGTCATAGAGCTTCACGTTAAACTTCTGCAAGAACCAAAGTATAGCCGGCTGTACACAAACTTTTGCCTTCCGTTCTAGACCGCGGCTCTCTGAGTAGCATCTTCGTTGGCAATTGCGGCAGCTGCGCGACATTAGAAAAGTGCGGAGCTTGGCATGCCTCGGTGACAGCCTTTAACTTCTCGTAGCATGAAAACACAAGGGGGCCGTCACCTTCCAAGTAGTATGTAGCTTTGACAAAATGCTCTCCTACATCAATGGTCACAACCAACTCAAGCTTAAGATCGACAAGGCGCTGAGGATATGAGAATATAGCTCGAAGCTGTGCCACAATCTTTGGAGCAATGTTCTCTACTTCCGCATCATTCAGGAATACAGCAACGTCTCCAAACTGCTCCAGTAGCTGCCTGTAAACTTCCCATTTTGACCACCAGCGTGTTTCGCTATACGATTTCGGCTTTCGATCGGTTAGATCCTGCCATGCCAACTTTGCTTTATGGCTGTGACTGAATAAGCGTACCCACAGGTTTCCAAACTCCAAAAGAGTAGGAATTTCCAGATGTTTGCCAACATTATCGAGCGTGTGGGAAAAGCAGACAATGTTCAACATCTTTGGGAAGATGAATGCTATCCGATCCAATGCTGCTTGATTGACACTTGCTCCATCCCTCATCGCTGCAAGCAAAGAGTTCGCCTTGATCCCAAATTCAACGCAAAGGGCTTCGTTGAGAACTCTTGCTAGTTCTTCTGAATTCACCGACTTTGAGCAAATGTCAATTCTTATAAGACGCTGTGTTATCATCCACTCATCATTAATAAAACGAAGGATTATCGCAATAGTCTCACCTTGCCTGGTGCTCCCGGTCAAATATTACTGAAACGTCCCTTGTCATATCTTCTCCTGGCAAAGACAGTTCCTTCTTTATTCTCTCAACCTCTTGCTTGAAAATAAGAGAAACATACTGTCCGAGATGCACACTATGAGTGAGGCGATACCCATTTTTCTCTAGCAAAGGACGTAGCCTGTCTACCTTCCCGATTGGAATCCCTGCTTTCAAAAATTCCTCCACTACTTCCTGTCGGTATGCCTGCTCAGCCAACGGCAGCGTGTTGTCTTTACGAGTCTTCTCTCTGCTGAGTGCCTCGGCTATCGTTTGTTCTGGTTATCTTTATAGGTTTTTTATTACCTTTTATCAACTAATATATATATGTATTTCATTACAGGCTCACTCTCTATTTTTGTTTACTACAACTGACTGCTTAAAAACGATCCCCCGGTTTTCTTTATTATAAAATGTATTATAACTATTTTTAGACATAATACATTTTATAATAAAAAACTTGAGCCTGAAATAAAGTATATACATATATATTAGTTAACTACTAAATGAGTAAGTGTTACTTCCAACTCTTCTTAATGACTGAAGGGAATTTTTATCAGATTGAGTAATTTGCCACAATTCACCATTAACCAAGTTTGATCTTCACTATCCACAAAACCATGAAGTATATAATGTGCATTTTGAGTTAGGGTCAAATAATTGTAAAAACAAACAGTGGCCTGAACAATTTGGTCAACAGTTGTGACATCTGAACATATGGGTCGCCTGAAAATCCTCCATCTAGCTGTGAGTATGCCAAATGCATTTTCTATAGTGCGTCTACATCTTGATAGCCATAGTTGTAGACAGCCTGTCGCACAGACAATCCTCTTCCTGGAAAAGGCTTCATCATCCAGTTCTTGTGGGTGAAAATATCATCCCCAGTAAACACATATGGCAACAGCCATCCATTAATCATAGAAGGCCCTAGAATTGGGAAAACCCCATTCTCTACTCCTTTGCAGATATCAGTTTGGGAAAAAATGGAAGAGTCATTGTCATGTCCATAGCTACCAATGCTTATGAACAAAAAGTGATATTTGGCATCACTCCCATTAACACTATGCTGTGGAAGCTTTTGTAGTTGTAAAACATAGAGCCAGCTTTTTTGGGACAGTCAATCCAAACGTGCTTTCCATCAACAGCTCCCATGCAGTTTGGAAAATCCCATTCTTGCTTGAACTCCTTTGCAACTTTCTTGAAATCCTCTTCTGTTTTTGGAAATTTTAGGTATATATCACTTAAGGCTTTCCAGACTGCAGCACATACCTCTCGTATAATTATAAATACTGTACTTCGGCCTATTCTGAAATTAAATGATTGTGATTGCTGAGAATCACCAGTGGTTAAAATCTTAGTGTTAACACAAGCCTTTCTTTTATGGTAAATGGCTCTCTGCTTCAACATTTTCTCTTTTTCACGTAAGGGCCCAATTTGATTGAGCAGGTGTTCCAGTCTCTCAGGAGATATTCGCATGAGCCTGTTAATTGCAGTCATGAAAAGTGTAGGTCAATAACATGGTCAATACAAATATGTAGTCAAGTTAGATTTATTAAAAAATGTTTGAATGAATATTTTTTTATGTTGTTCATTACTTGAAATAATACTCTCGATCTTGTAAATACAACTCTGTCGATAATGAATGAAATTGACCAAGAGTTTTAAGCTGTCTTAGCACTGGCCTCACCCAAAATCGTCTTTTTCATCTCTTTTTCTTTTAAACTGTCTCTCCCAACTTTGATGTATTTTGAAAGCACTGTTAAAAGGCCGCATAATTCGCTAATAGTATCGCTATTTTCAGATTACAAAGCACCATTTTGTCTAATTCAAACCACCGCTAAATTTTGGTAGGCTATCGACGATGTTGAATTATGTCATTGAAAAGCATTATGGCAAGCCACATGGTACAAAAGTGTATGGAGAATTCCAACTGCTAGTCGAGAATATCAACCATATGCTCAAAATATGATCTAGCATTTGAGAAAAACAAACTATACGGGTTGAGAATTTTAAGAAAAACACCCAACAGCCAAAAGGTTAACAAGCTTTTTATTGCTAGTGTGAGTACTGATGCTAAATGGCAGAGCTTGGATTTCCTAAAAAGATATGTGAAATCATTGGAAAAGAAGGCTCTTTAAAGATTTCTGCATTTTTAAACTGGTAGTTATGTGTTGACATGTGATTCAATTGATATTACATTTACAACCTTTCATGGCTTTTCACGACGGCCTATTGCCCACACATGTGGGCCAACACTAGAGCTACCAACAACATATGAATGCCTTGCAGAACTGGCAGAAAAGTTTACAAGCATAATGAGAGAAAGCACATGGTCATTTGACATTGTGTAAAGTTGTTTTTTATTATTTTTCACAATATCATATAGTTTTGTTTAAACAGAAAGAGAACTGACAGTTTTAAAAAAAATGTTCCACTCGTGGTCTATGAGCTTATTTTTGGCTTGCACTATTTTACTAAATACATTTGTTTCATTTGTTAAACTTTGTCAACATTAATCTTTGCCTCTAAAAACCTCTCAACAATATCAACTGTCTTCAAGTAATGTTCAATGCCATTATTCCCATCATCTTCTAGAGGGTTAACTTGTTGTTTGAGGTAATCATTCTAATTTATGCTTAGTTGCATGCTTGAAACAGGTATAACAACATTGTTGCTTGTGGCAACAGCTAATGGCCCCCCATTATCAATTCCATATACATCATCATTTATTGTTGTAGGATCATTCGGAGCTGAGCTAAGGTTTGAATGAAATAAATCCGAGGGAGTTTGATGATTTTCTGTCCTAAGACCATGGTGATCCCACTGTGATTTGAATTCATGTAATGATGCATTGATACGCACTAGATAAACGTAATGCAATGCCAATAGATGAATTTCATTAAGGGAGTTCAATAAACCATTGTTTCAATGAATCAACCAAAAAATCGAAATATGTCTTTGTAAAGTGCTGACATCGCTCTGTTCACTTCAGCCCATAATCGTTCTATTGTTTGATTGTGCACACTTTTTCCGGCTATGAACCTTTCCCTGTCATTGCCTTGATATTCTATCATAAATCGTGACACATCCACATTCTCACTGCCATGATCACCTCGTACACGAGAGGGTAAGCCAAACTTTTACACTCCACCTTAAAATAATTCAAGGACAGTATCGGCTCTGTTATTTGTGCAACAATGCAGGTAAACAATCATTCGGCTGAATTCATCTATGCAACCATTGATTACAAATCCTTGTGCAATCAGTTTATGGTTTGAATCAATGTGCGATAAATAATTAGGACCTTTGACATTATAGACACGCCTGCAGATTGCAAAACGTTTCCGAATGCTTCTACCAATTTGATCAACCCTCCAAAGACTTTCTCGAATTCTAGTGCGTTGAAGATGAATATTTCTGCCCCTCAAACCACCCCTTATGTAAGTTTCACCGCTGTATGATGTTAATTGAAGAATTTGTCTAACTTCTTCATCCAAGTTGGCATCACTAATATCTGAGAAGCTTTACTTAATTAAAAAAGTCGATTCTTCTCCTGTGTAATGTTCTGGTAGAAATTCAAAAAAAGCTAGCAATGTTCGTCCAGTCATTAACATATCACGAGGTTTCTCAACTTTTTCTTTTCTGATATTATAAGCTGGTCTACCTCCAGTACTTATAAGCATATGAATGGCATGCATATTTTCATTCGTGGACAATTCCTGCTCGAGACATGTCTCTCAAAGGCACACGACAGTTTCTCCAGTTCCTCCTCCATTACAGTGATCAAGTCCTCCAGCAACATGGCAACATCATCAGAAGAGGAATCACGAGATGAGCTTGTTATTGTGTACACTGAAACAGTCCAAAACATTGCTGCAACAATAGATATGTAGTTTTCAAATTTATTTTTGCAATATTCGATACCTATTGGGTCTTTGTTTTGAAATAATTGAAGCCTTTGGCCAAACAATCTCTGTAAACCAATAAAAAAATCTATGAGTTCTTAAATGTCTTCGTCCATGATTGCAAGAAATTCCAGAATTCTTTCAAAGTAAATCAAGTATTGCCAGAAACAGTAGTTTACTGCTAAGTCGCTGACCATTGTTACTGTTATAAATCTGGACAACAACATAAAATTCTTGTCTTATTTTTAGATTCTTGCTATGTATATCAGAATCTCAACCATCGCCTAATATTCTCAACCGTTGCTAAATATTCTCAACTATTGCTAAATATTCTCAACTATTGCTAAATATTCTTGACTATCGCTTAAAATTCTCAACCCGTATAGTTTGTTTTTCTCAAATGCTATATCAGATTTTGAGCATATGGTTTATATTCTCGACTAGCGGTTGGAATTCTCAATACACTTTTGTCAGTGTAATATATATATCAGTGCTACTTACGGACACCTCCCGGAAGCAGGCACATTTCGTAAGCGGACACTGCTTTTCAGTCCTGGCCAATACGCTATTAACTTACTATATTTACAAGAGATATACTATTTACCGAGCCGAGGACTCGAGCTCAGACTCGAGCTGGGACTCATGCTTGGACTCGAGCTAGGATTCTACTTAGAAGTCGAAACTTTGGACTAAAAGTAAGTCCTATATCGAGTAAATTGGTTAGGTTTCTCATGAACTTTTACTACAAATCACAATTGTTTTCACAGCAAACCAATCTTGATTTACAATACTTCAATACATCAACTTGATTGTCTTTCAAGAGCGTTTTTTGACGTATATGAGAATATAAGAATAAAAAGTCGTTTGCTTTAATCGACCGATGATCAACATGCATTTGTTGTACAGACTTTATTGACTTACATATATACAAGGGTCTCAATGGGGCTTACAGAAAAGATATAAAAAGTTTTAAAGACCAGCAATATTTGCTTCAATTGAAAACTTTGAAAGCATTGGAAAGACTTGGATTGTCAGTTGTTATATGCATGAAGTGCACGTGATTAAAAGTTGGATTTTGACATTATTACTTAGAGAAACATAAAATAAGTGGGAAATAAAATCAATTTTATTATTGTCGAGCTAGTGAAACAGCAAGGGATCTCGTGACAGAAGTAAGACATTTGTATTAGTATTTTAGTTGTCAGTTTTGTTTGTTTGTTTAGAGGACACGTATTCATATTTTGCATGCTTGTAATACAATACTCCTATTTTACATCTGTAATTTTGTTATACAGATCGAGTTGATTATCAAATACGATTTATGAGACTTCTTTCCTGTATGCCCATAACTGCTAACCCGTCATCTAATTGCTGAGGAAACACTATTTGATTTCTGGCTAACTTTGGTTCCAAGGAATTAGAACGAAATACAGAGATAGGAAGTATGTCAAAGGAGAACGATTGTAATGATATTAAATGGGCTGGAACAAAAAGAAGAAACGGTAAAGCGACTTTAACACGCTTATAAATGCTAATCAGTCGTCCAATTTCTCAGGAAACAGACCTTATTATCATAACCTATATATCATATATAACATTTGACAATATTGTAGAGTGGTTTCCAAACTATGAAAACACCACTTGAAAACACTAATTCTTATTTTAACTATCAATGGTCGTTGTAATTAGGTTATCAACATATCTGAAGGATTCCCACAGATATAAAAAAAATTCAACTGACAAGCTCAAGCCCAAGCAACAAACTACAGAAATTTTACCTGATTATGCTAGCGACTTATGAATACTCCCATCTACACCCTCATATACGGCCTTGTGATTTGTTTCATTTTGTCATAAAATTATTAAAGAACTCTGTTTCCAAATATTATGCATTTGCTGATTGCAAATAATGTTCAAAACGTGAAAGCGATCAGCGAAGGCTTTGTTCATTGCAAGTGTTGCATATATATTAATAAACAGTGTATTTCCTCAGCTGAAGTATCAAGTGTGACATGCGTGTTGAGGTTCGTTGTTATTTTGACATTAGGTAAATTCAATTAGAAAACATAATATTTGCAAGTCGTAAGACTCGAGAGAAAAATAATGTCATTCACTTTCACCTTTTCATCCAATTCACCAACAAATATGGTGACCAGAATAAACAGCGTAATAAATAAACAATGCAAATAATTACTGATAACTCGAGTACAACAGCCTCATATAGTTCATCGAAACAAAATAGCAAAGCTTGCATTGGTAAAATATTTTGAGCTTTTAAGTTTCAACTACATTTATAATGTTTAGCGAATATTTTTAACGAGAACAGAAATTCGTTTGGCCAACAGATCAATCGAGCTAATGCTAATTTCCATACGTTATATGACACAAGGGATTGGCAATACATTATTATACAAGAGTACGTTTGGGCTGTATTGTTTTGCCATTCTTATTTTTGTAGAGGATTGTGCTTCAACGATTATGTGCCGATGGCAATTACTTTGAATAATTGTCTCGCAAACGGGAATCATGCAAGTGTTTCATTGTCTTTATTGCATAAATTGTGATTCGTTAGTTCTCATTGTGATGTTATTACACAGACCATTCTTTTCGCTGCTAACTTTCGATCGCAACGCACCAAGTTAATAGACCTTTCCACGAGATTCAATTTACCACGGGCGGAGAGGGAGGCTGAGCCTGCAGACAGTCACCACTTAGGGGCTGATTACATGGAGCATTTTCAACCCTGGGTTGAACTGAACCCTTTTAAGTGAGTTGAAATTTATTGCGATTATATGGAAATCTTGTCCCCGGGGATGGAAATTACCGGGTAAACGCGCGAAATTTAAATATATAAAACATGGCTGCCGAAAATCACCAAAACATAACATTTCAAGTTATTCAATGTGGAATCTTAATAGCGCTGATAATACAGTGCTGTGGTATGGCTATTGCATACAGAATGATGCAGCAGAAGAGGTTAAGGATACTTGATGCATATTTTCAAGCAAAAAACCAAGAAACTGATGAGAAAGAGAAGGCATCTAATGCTTCGTCGGCTTTGCCGAAAACCAAGAAGCACCTGGGTAGTATTTGGTAGGACCGATCAGTGGTGGAGGAATCTAATTAGTGAGAATGCTTTATCCATTTCATGGAAAAAATTTGAGAATGAGCAAAGAAAACTTTTACCGTTTGGTTGCTGAACTAGATCCTGTAATTGGTCCTAAACCAAATTCACCCAACTACAGGCTGCTTAGCTCAAGCAAGAAGGTGGCTGTAACGTTATACTACCTTAAGGACACTGGCTCTTTGTGGATGACTGCTAATACTTTTGGCATTCATCAGTGTACAGCCTCTAAAGTCATTAAGGAAGTGTGTTCTGCTATCAACAAATTATTAGGGCCCAAATACATTTTCTTGCCAAAGAATGAGAAAGAAATGAGGAAAAAAGCTTCTGAATTTGAATTAAAATTTGGTATGGTGCAAGCCTTTGGACTGATTGATGGTACTCACATTCCAATCAAATGCCCACCAGAAAATTCTCAAGATTTTTTTAATTACAAACAGTATTTTTCTCTCAATGTCCAAGCTGTTTGTGACAGTAAGGGTTACTTTATGGATGTAGAGTGTAGGTGGCCTGGATCAGTGCATGATGCAAAAGTGTTTGCAAATTCATCTGTTTGTAAAAGGCTTAACAGCAGACAGTTACCAATCACCTACCTCACACTTTTACCAGGTCATGATCCAGTTCCAAATTATCTTATAGGGGATCCAGCATACCCCTTAACACAATTTTGTCTAAAGGAGTACCAAACATGCACAGACAATGCCCAGATAATATTTAATAGTATGCTCAGATCAGCAAGAAATCAAATTGAATGTGCTTTTGGCAGACTCAAAGCTCGTTGGGGTTTCCTCAACCGAAAAGTGGACATAAAGTTTGATTTACTTCCAACAGTCATATACAGTTGTTTTGTATTGCATAATTTCTGCGAACAAAATGGTGACTTCTTACTAAATGAAAAGGAAATTTACTTGCAGGTGTTACAACATGTACAAGATGAAGATACTACACCAAATGTGCCTGATCAAATATATTCATGTAACAACTTAGATGGTGAAACTGTTCGTTCACTACTAACAGATTACATTACCCATAACTTGCCTTATAACTATTATTAACATAACTTACAGGCTACTTGCTACTATTAAAAACTATTGAATATCATACATTTATGTTTCAAAAACAATGCTGTTTTATTGTTGTGAGAATCAGGTTGTGGAATATACTGCAAACAACCAAATATTAACTATTGGAAAAGTATTTAACTTTTTAAAATACATAATTTGCATGCATCTTTACAGAAAGGCAATATTCACTGTTGTTAAAGAGTTTCATAAGTAAAACAGTTTTATGCATTTTGATTGTCATTGTCAATTTTCCGGGAGCAATGATCTTCAAAATCGAATTGGCAAGTACCATAATTATTGTGGAATGTTGCATTAGGCATGTGACCAGGAACATGGTAAGGATTAGGACTATAGGGCATGCCTTGTAGATGGTTGTTTTTCTGTGCACATACCTGAGTCATCATTTGCATTGATTGGGCAACTTGGGCAATAGATTGACTCATTTGCTGCATTGCTGTGGCAAAGGTTACATCAGACTGCTTTATTGCATCAGTCATGTCTTTCCTGAATTGTGCATCTTCTTTGGCCTCCTTTAACAGGAGCTGGTCACGCTGGGCAGCACTTAACTGTCGTTCAAGATGCTTTCTTTTGTTGTCAATTAATCTTGGAACCATTGCCATTGCCTTCCGTTTTCTTGTACCACTGTCCAGGTCCAAACAGTCGTCTAATGAAACATCATTGTTCTCATCATTCAGGCTTTCTGATGGGGAAAGAGAAGTAGGAAAAATTACATCATCCTGCTCTTTTGCATTGGTGGCATTAACTTCCTCAGTGAAAGTTCCACATTTCAATGGCTCTGTCGCCGGAGAACCTCCCCATATCTTCACCAGTTCATCATAAAATTGTAACACAATTTTTCCGCTACCACTGCGACATCCACTAGTTACAGCAACAGAGAAGTTATGTCGAATTTCTTTCAGTTTTTCATGGACACGCTGATATCCTTTCTTTACAAGTTTTTTATCATGATCTTGCGCAACTCGTAGGGTTTTTTTCTCTTTTTTTTGCTCCTCACTAAGGACATCATCTTTCAAGCCAAATATTGGATGAGTTGTAACAGATGGCGGACCAAACTGGGTCGGGTCATCAGCATATATTCTCGCCATTTCCACGCGTATTGCTTCGTATAATCGGACTTTATCAGCATAGAAATCCAAGTTTTGAAACTCCATTTGGCTTTTATAGTTGGCCAAACAGCGTATCAAGCTCTCCATTTTGTCATCCTTGTCCCAACGAAATCTTCTTTCGCGATAAGTGATTGTATTTAGAAGTTCTTCCTTATTTTCCAGATCCTCGTGTATCGTCTCCTCCATTTTGCTAAAGACAACAATCAGACTACGCATGCTCAAATATCTCGGCCCTGGGTTGAAAACAATTACATGGCGTAACTTTCAACCCAGTGTTGAACTCAGCACTGGGTTGAAATTTCAACTCGATTTGCAGAAACAGGGTTGAAATTTCAGCCCCGGGGTTGAACTAAGCACTGGGTTGAAAATTTGCCATATAATCGCACGTTTGGTATAACAAATGTTTCGTATTAAGACTGGGCTGAAATTTCAACTCACTTAAAAGGGTTCAGTTCAACCCAAGGTTGAAAATGCTCCATGTAATCAGCCCCTTAGAATAGTAGATTTAAAACACATACTGCAAAAGAACAATAATTAAATATTAATACATCTCTTTGATTATGCGGCATGCAACACGGACGCAGGTTCAACAAACTCGTGAAATATTTTAAAGAAGCTTTGCTAAAATTACACTGGCAAACGTACGCAGCAAAATATTTAGTTATTAATTTTACAGTTTTTACATCTCGTATTAAGACATCGTTCAAAATTTGTAGAATGTTCATAACCCAAAATCTGAACATGTATTTGTGGAAATTGTTTTATCAATAAAAACCTTTATAGGTATGTCATTTACACTTAGTCGGGTTATACACGTCCATACTATTGTATACTGACGTACATAAAGAGTGCACAATATTTTGTCTAGAATTATCCACAAAAATCAGAGGAAATAGCCAATCCTAGTTTTAAACATACGTGTAATTAAGGCCCTGTTCACACGACCGGATTCTTTAGCTGCGCTACTGTTTCTATTCGCGTGCTTTCTTGCATGTGTTAGTAATAACAACAATGGCCGGCAATTCAAATACTATGCAAGGAAGACATGCCTTTTTTGGACAGATAGTGAAGTGGAACTGTTGCTGGAGTGTGTGAAGTTTTTGCATCAAACTGTATATACGAGGGCAAGGACTGGGAGAGTATATCATGACTTTCTTCGATTTGTGCAATTATATTTGGACTGGTGCTCCTGCAACCAACAGTATTGAAGGTGAGCGCATGATGATGATGAACCTTTGGCATCTACTGAATACCCAGTCACATCCAAAGATTCTGCAAACTTAGGGAGAAGTGATAGGTGTGAAAAGATTTCTTAATCAACGGTGCGTGGGAAAAATGGGAGGCAAAAAATCTCTGGAATCACAGCAGCTACATTTCTTAAAAGAAGACTTGCAACTAAAGTGAAAGCGGCTTGAGCAAGGTGAGACCCTTCACAACGAATTTATAAGTGAAGCAAAGAAGATGACAACAAGTATGGATAAAATGGCCACTGCAATGACAAGTTGCTTTCAAATGATGGAAAACATTCTTCATACACAGCATCAACAACAGCTACCACAACCTGCATTTTATGGCAATGGTTTTCCACAAATGAGCTCACAAAGTGTATTGCCAAATTTTTATGTCCATGAAAATCAAAGAAATAGAAGGCAGAACTTTACCTTGCCTACTGATTTTACTCAACTTCATGAGGAAGGGCATGACAATTAGATTTAATTGATATTCAAACTAATTTTAAGGGAGTTTCAAAAAAAATTTTATTACTATATTGGAACTTAGCAAGGGATAACTGCTTTAAAATCTATTAACACCATGCAATAAACTATTTATTTCTAAGCTTCCTTTTTTACATTGTTTTCTACTTAACACATAGCAATGACATTAAACACTTGATACAAATTTCAGATATATACATACATGATTTGTCAAGGGGCTCCAATTTGAGAAATTACAGTGTAGATGTTTGCAAACAAAAGTGAAGCAATACATGATTATTTTTATGTTAGATGCTTACAATTACTATATTCTCACAGAATATAATTTTTTGATTGGCAGGTTTGCATTGCATTCTCAATGTGGGGAAACATCTGGATTTTTTGTTCTTCGAAGCATTTGACCAGATGCAGATGCATTTTCTCCTGCAGCCAGGTAACAGAGCAAGGGTTCACACCATTAGCCAAAGCAACACCATTTGCCAACGCAAAAAGACCACAATATAATGATCCTTTTTGATGTTGTTGGAGAATCACTTTGACATTTAAAGAACCATCCTGTTCTTGAAGGTTTTTGTAAACAATCTGGAGTAGCCTTTTTAATGATGAGTTCAGGTTGGTACTCATAGATTCAAAGACTACTATTTCACCAGTCATGGATGTAGAAACCACCCAGCGGTGACCAATATTGTGACATTGAATTGCTTGGGTGATATTTTCAGGAATATTTTATGAGTTTGTTACTGTATGTGCTGCTACAACTGTGTTCAGACCTCCCACTCCTGTACCAAGATCACATATTAATTTCTGTTCTGCATCAATATAGTCATCTGAAAGCCATCCATTTAAATTTAGAAGCATGTCTTTCTGAGCATATGACACAACTTTATTCTTTGAATATCTACCCAACACTCCTCAGAATTTTCAATTTTCTCATTGTTGTTCAGTTTCATCTTTTTTGCTAGTTGCTCTACAATTACTTGTAATTTGCATTTCTCATGCTTCTCTTCTTTTTCAAGCTTCTCTTCAAGTACTTCAATTGTTTCACTTTTTAACTCAGCTGCTCTTCCCACTCGTTTACCTGGACACCTCTTGCATTTTCATTTTGGCAAAGCAGATTGTGACCTACACTTTGAAATTTGTTTCTTTTTTGGAGATAAAGACTTGTTTTTTAATGATAATCGATGTTTTCTGTAATGCGATTTGACTTGTGCTATTTGCAATATTTCGCAGGAGTTGTAATAGCTCATGTTTGTAAAGATACGTTCTATCACTGCGCTTATTAATCCATTCGTTCCACGCCTTCTCTCGATGAAAATCGCAAACATGAATGTGTGTTTCTAACCCAAAAAAAACCCATTCATTAAGTAAGTTCGTCAAAAAAGGCCATTGCTTTGTTTCGTCGTACTAGGAAAACACTGTTTGATTGCTCCAATTTGAGCTAATGAAAAATCAACCATTATGTTTTTAGGTTTTCACAGATTAGGATTCTCTTGACTGATGATGTTCAGGACTTCTGATATGAAATCCATGTCCTCATATTGGGATATGAAGACAGCAACAACGATGTAACAAACATTTGATCGGACACATAAGAAAAACAACGGTAGTGCATACCTCAAGAGATGCGAATTGGAAAACTTTAAAACATTAACTTTCCAAGTGACAAGAAAATAAGGTATTTTGTATTACCTACATGTGCGATAAGTGGCATCCATTAAATACATTTCGTTCTCATAATGCAATAATAAGTGCTTCATCCAACAAGACATACAAAAAGAAACTTCCTCTTCTCCAGACCATTTTCTTTCAAAAGCTAAAAAAAAGAGAATAAGTACATGTCAGCATAGTTTATTTGAAACAGAGGCATTCAAAGGAAAAATAGTTGTGAAACTGTTTATATCGTTTTTTAAACCCATGCAGGGTTAATATTTTCCATAATATCTTACCCTTTAAAGGCGGATCTCCATTAGACGGAAAAAGTCGCGGCGGAAAATTATCACTTCACATCGCTGTACGAATAGTAGGAACCATTTCTACTATTCGAGGCTCGACATTTTTTCGCTAAAGAAAGAACCAATAAAAACGTCGTTTGCTTCTGATGAATCAGCACAAAATACAACCAAGATGGCTGACTTTACGTGTGAAAATT